TTTCATTGTGAAATAGTGTAAACTACTCTACCTTAGAGTTAGATTCTCTTCCCCATCTCCTGGCAAAGGTTAAGATCTGAATAAAGGCATGTATAGCCAACAGGGATTCCTGACTTTGGTAAATGTCAATGATTTGCTCTCTCTTCCTTGGTGTATGCAACCTTCTTCCATGCTGCCCATCCTGACTTTATGAGTAGCTAAACAAACACGAGAGAGAGAGTTAAGCTGATTCTTGTCTCTTAGCTTTCCTGTCTTTGTAACATGATTATTAGGTACATCATCTTGTTGCATTGCACGTGGCCACATCCTGACAGCCCATCTTCTCAATGCACCTGAAGCACAGCTCACACCAACAGGCTTCATGCATTTTCTTTAGAGCTGGGAATCCCATGGGAGCTAATGTATGTGACGGTTTTGTGCAATTAGAAGCGGGGTAAGGGGGATGGAAGGGGTGTAGGGTCTGGGACAGTTTGTCTAGATTGAAAAGGAAATGATGTAATTTTGCTAGACCTTTGGCTCAACGTTCTGATCCCATTGTTTTGCAGCTTCCTCTACACATGTTGTGGAGAGTTGGGAGTGGGACATCAACCTTATTCGGTAAATCATTATGTCTAGTTATGTGTTGGACACCATGCTAAGTGCTGGGAAATAGTAAAATAAATATGTTACAGTCCTTGTCTTTCAGGGCATTTGTAATGTATCGAGGGCAAGAAATGGAAGAGGGGATGGCACTATGTGAAAATGCTTATCGTAGAGCTATGTACAACATGCTGTGGGGGCGGAGAGTTGGTGGCGCTAATTTGAGAAAAGCTTCACATGGGAGGTGGCATACTGGGCTTTTAAGGATGGGCTTGCTTGGTGGAGAATGGTAGAAGGAATAATCTTGGCAGACAGACGTCCTGAACCCAGGCAAAGAGACCCAGCCTGTGTGGTGTGTTAGGGAAATGGCGGGTGGTTTGAGGTGGTTGGTTATAGTAAGAAATGATGGAACATGAGACTGGGAATGAAGACTGGGCCTAAACGAGACAAGACCTTGACTTTCAGTTTGAACCACGTTGTGTAGGATTCTAAAGCAGGGTATGTTGTGTCTATTTTAGAAAGTTAGTGTGAAGGAGGGAAGAGTTGGTTGAAAGTAAGTAGTCCCAGCAAGAGAAGGTGGGGCCTGTTGCATGAATGGAGTGGAGTACATGAAAAAAACGGTCATTTGGAGATGAATTCATTAGCACTTAGTGAACAGCACGAGGTTGGAACTTTGGGGTCAGCCTACCTTTAAGGTCTGGGTGGAAGAAACGGAGTCTCTGAGAGAGACTGGGCGGGATGCCCGAAGACAAGGGAGGGGAGATATTTCAACAAGAGCGGTGGTGCTCCACGATGTAAATGCCTCAAAGGGAAAAACCAGGACGGGACTGAGAAGAGACCATTATAGATAAGAGATTGAGTCATTGGTGACCCTTGGGAGAAATTACCTTAGAGGCCTACAAGCATGGAGAAAACAGATGAATGAGTGCTTACCACATTCAAGCTATCACACTATTCCCCAAGAGCCTACCTAGCAATTAGCTGCATTTGTGGAAGGGAGTATTCACAAACAGCTCTCCAGGTACTTGGAGTGGGGGTAGGGGAGAGGGAAGCTTAGGATCAGGGCTTAGTTCAAGTGCCCCTGAACAATATCTCTGCCTTCTGCTTTCTAGGGTCTCAGAGAGGCCCCTCCTTGCAAATACCATTACTCTAATTGTGCCATTTTGTCTTATTACTGTTAGCATTCTGTAGAAGATAGAAGCTTATAGACTTCTCTTCCAATTATGAACCGGTACTCATTTCTAGCCATGATGCTTCTAGTGGTGCTGTGATGTGTAACCCAGATCTCCTCTCTGTACCTGAGGCACTCATTGTCCACCTGCTGGGAGTGTAGGCAGCTAGTGATTGTTCTCACCTGGGGATTGTCCTTAGCAGAAGAGTGTCATTTCATGAAAGATCATAACCGCTGGGCTGGGGACAGTCTGCATGCAATCACTAGTCAATGGAGGTGGGGCGCAAAGGCCCCCATGCCTCAGGGTAGGATAATTTTGGAGGTTCACCCCAGCTCCGGAGCTCCTGCGGGATCAGGTGAAGTTTTGGTTCCACTGCATCACAGCTGAACTCATTCCTTCTGCTCAGTCCTATCCTTCTTCCTTCACTCCCAAATGGTCTTGATTCTGAGGCACACCCCAGCAAACTCCCTCTGTAAATTTCTGCGATTCTGAGTCCCATTTCCGGGGGAACCACCCTTATTTGATGATTGTTTCCAGTTTGGTTGCCTACCCAAGGTGGGTCACCAATCCAACTCCGGTTACTCTGACCTTTGCTTTTGAGCCCCTTGGATGTATGTGTCCAGAGGAAAGACCCCATCTCCTAGCAGTTGGAACAAAAATCTCGGCATTGTACTTCCTTGGTTCTGAGCCATCAGTCCACTAATGGGCTGAGCCATAGGCCCATTAGTGGACTGTTCAAGGAAAGGAAAGAGCTAGAAGTCAGTTGCCCAGCTCTCCCTGAGACCAGCCCATTAAACCTCAGCCCTGAGGATGGGTCCATACAGTAGGGTGGCCCCTGGACATAGAAGCTGGTCGGTGGTAGTCACCGTCCTGCTTTTGTCTTTCGTTCAAATTTTGTTTTTTAGTCAAGAAAAAAAAAAAAAGAATGTTGAAAATACAGTTGAGATATTTCGAGCACATGTAGAACCTCTCTCAAAATTTATTGCAGAAACACCACTGAGCAAACAAACTACTGGGAACAGCTTAGAAACAAACAGCAGCTGCCACCATTTGTGGGCTTTTTTCCCCCTGTTCCCTCATTTCTTTCTAATTCTGTTTGTAATAGAACCTGCTGCTCTGATGGCCTAGCAGTTTCACACACACCATTTTCCTTCCCATCCTGAGGCCTCCCAGGTGGTCTGTCAGCCACGGGGTCTCCGTTGCCAGAGCTCTGGGCCCTCGCTGTTGCTTCTGTCACACGGTTCCGTCAGGAACATCGTCCACACCCCCTGACCTGGGGGGTGTAGCTGGAACTTCCGGACTTCTCAGGCTATGAGGTCCAAGTCGAGTCTGGAGAGGGATTTTTTGCCCTCCTGGCTTTATAACAATGGATTATACGGATGACAATTCTTTCTCAGGGATAAAGGGCTTCAACCGTTGGGGTTTTGTTTTATTTTGTTGTTTTCTTTGTGGAATCTTTGAAGGCACGTAGCAAAGGGCTTGTCTTGGGCCTGGTTTGCTAAAGACCATAACTTAATTTATTTATAAGATTTATTTATTCATTTGAGAGACCGAGTGAGCAAGCAGGGGGAGGGGCAGAGAGAGGGAAACAAGCCGACTCCCCACTGAGCCCGATCCCAGGACCCCGGGATCATGACCTGAGCCAAAATCAAGAGTTGGACGCTTACCCTACTGAGCCACCCAGGTGCCCTTAAAGACTGTAGCTTTAAAGAACTCTTACTTGTCACATCGGATTCTTTTGTCTTCTTCCCCACGAATAGCAGCCCTGAAGCAGCCCTTCGCTCTTTAAATGCTACTAGTGGTGTGCAGTTCCTCAGCTTAAAAATGATTGCTATGAGACACGAGCAGATTGCCAGCTATGTGCAGGGTGTGGTGCTAGGCCCTTACTAACTCTTCATCAGAGCTCTGCAAGGGCAAGTGTCATCCCCATTTTATCTGCCCAGAGACTTAGTTGCTCTCTCAGGGTGTCCTCCGTTCATGCAGCCAGTCGAGGGAAAGCTGGTGTGTCTGCATCCAAAGCCCAGGCTTTCCCTCCGCTGCCTCTCAGTCACCCTAACAATTTATTATCTCATAAAAGTGTTGACTCTTTTGCAGTCTTTTTTATTTGTCCCTCCCTCAGAGTATTTTTTTAAGTGAGTTAGTGCCTAACATTTAAAAATTAGGACATCTTGGAAACATACAAAACAAAACGAAAACTTTAGACCAGGCAATATAGTGCTCAGAGGTGGACATAATCACAACTGTGGGTCCAGCTACGTGACCCCCAGCCCCACCCCCACAGGGAGACATGGCTTCTCCAGGTGGCCACAGACCCCAGCTGGCCCACTTCATTCTGTTACGTTACTTGATTAGCCTCTGTGGACATTTAAGTTTGTGATTCCTCATTTAGGCCCTTAAAGAAACAGTTTCTCTCCAGTGAGGTAGCAGTGGAGTTCAGAGTCGGTGTATGCTTCTGAGTTGAATTTTACAGGCTTTGATATTTTTTTCCATTTGAGGGGATAAGAATTCAGTAATAAATAGCAGCAATTATTGGACATTTACTGAGCACCCTAAGAGTTAGCTGACTCTGAGGGTTAGCAGATACCTGTTTGGTGGTCAAGACATGCATAAATCTCCCGTTCAATTGGTATTCAAAATCCTGCAGGGACTCTTTCTGCAGGTAGTGCAGGATCTGAAGACCAGGCACAGAAACATATTTTGCAGGGACAGTGTTGTAGAGAGGGGGAGGTAAAGCCAAGGAAAAACATTCGGGGGAGGCAGCTATGTTGATTGCACCAGCGCTTGGGAACCGTTGACTACCTTATGTATGATTTCCCCACAATACAAAAACACCCCTTTCTTAATTGTGTTCAACAGAATGGGCAGCTCAGAAGCTTCAGAGAGAAAGATCTGAAAAATTAGAATCCCCTCCCAGGATGATGGGTCTTTCATTTTATCCTGATGTACCTGCAAGTGTATTTCCATTTGGCAGCGATAAACGTGTTCATTCTTTTTTATGGTTTTGGTGGAAGTCATATCTCCTTTTGTCTGATCTAAACACATCTCATAGAAGAGTAAAATGGAAACAAAGTGGATTTTGACTAGTTGCATAGCTGCAGCTGACTTAAATTTTAATAGTAATTAATATTAACACATGAGCACCCCCAAAACTAAAGTTGTTATTTCCTTGCTTATTTTAAGTGTTTGCTTTTGATTAAGACAATGCCTGGAATGTTATTTTGAATTTTTGTTTGTTTATTGTTTTTTTAGGACCCTGCAGGGATCTTTGAATTAGTGGAACTTGTTGGAAATGGAACATATGGACAAGTTTATAAGGTAAGTTCACTGACTTTGAACGTGGCTTCTATGTGGTTTACTCTTGCTCATATATGCCTTACAACAGATTTAAAACAAAATAATGTGCTTCTTAATTGACTCTTCATCTTTTAAAATATATCTGTAATCCCATTGCCCAACCGGGATTCTGGAGTTTGGGCCTTGTCCTTCATTATGTATTATGATGTTTACATCCGACACATGAATTTCGATGCTGCATATTTGAAGCTCTTTACGTATTTAGTTTCCTTTACTTTAACACTGCCAGAAGTGGTTTTCAAAGGAGTAAAGGATGACTTTTACTTTAGAAATTCAAGCTATTAAAGTATTGCAGCTGGATAGGTAGATTTGTTATTGGCCCAGGGCATGAATTAAACTGAGCTTAGTGAACAGTGTTAGGAGAAACCTGGCTACCTCACAAAGCAAAAGCCTAATGGCAGAATGACTTTTAGAAGATAGGCAATAAATAAAAGTTAAACTTGAGTTGAGGAATAAGAGGTATTTTTTGTCCTTTTACTAATTTTTGCTTGTAAGTTCACTCAAAAATTCTTTTAAAAGATATTGCCCCCCGGTAAAGGGTCTTAAAAAATATGACTGTTTAAAAATGTGGGTTGATTTCCCTTTTGATTATTAAAAGGAAATAGAAATGCACTGTTTTTGGATTAAAATTCAGGGGGTTTTAGTAAATGAGCTATTGAAATAAATGCCTTCAAAACAAACCAATTCTTTTCTCGTGATTGTTTCTAGAGAAATATCCATCATTTTCCTGAGTGGTAGTGAAATGGGATGGTATTTTCATTACAAATGATCTCTTTTTGTTGTTCTGTTTTTAAAAGTTCCTTCTCTGATCCCTAAACTTCTCTTAGTGATTAAAATTACTGTAGAAGTCATCCATATTGTAATATTTCCAATTCTACAGAATGTTAAAAGTACACACACACACACACACACACACACACGATGTTCTTGAGAATCTGAACACAATTGTAAACAGATACATTTAAACATTTACTTATTGGAAGGTAGCCTTTGGTGTCCATCCAGGGGAAAATTTCTCCCTTGCAAGAAATGATTGTTTCCTAAAATGTAAGCCCCTTGCAATTAGACAGAACGTAGTCCACCCAAGCTGTTCACTTGACGTTGATCCTGTCTGACACAAGGAAGAAATGTGTCTCAGCAAATGCTTTAAAATACTGTCAATGAAGATAATTAGGTTGGAAGATTGTGTTATTGCATTTTGAGAAATTGGATTGAAGTTGTGAATTAATGTGGGCTAATGAATTAAGCTCTGATTTAGGTAGAAAATTACTTCTGATTTGCTGACAGTATGGAGTTGCAACTCTATCGCATGCTCTTGGTTTTATGGCGCGTTTTCTTAGAACCATTCCATTGTATGATGCTTCCCACCTGTAGAATGTGCATTTGGGGGACAATTCACAGCTTTGTCTACTAATCTAAGAGGTGGACTGTATATTCTTGCAAAAGAAGACAACAAAGAGATTAAGTTGAGGATGAGAATGTTTGGAAAATTCAGAATTATCCCTACTTTCTTGTCACCTGAAAAGAAAAGGAAACAAGTGTCAAGAGGTGTATGGTCTTTTTAGAAAGGAAAGATATTTACCAACTATGTTGTTAACATTATTCTAAAGATGCCATTCTTGGGGCACCTGGGTGGCTCAATTGGTTGAGTGTCCGACTCTTGATCTCAGCTTAGGTCTTGATCTTGGCTCAGGTCTTGATCTCACAGTGGTGAGTTAGAGCCCCGTGTTGGGCTCCATGCTGGGCATGTAGTCTACTTAAAATAAATGAAGGAAGGAAGGAAGGATGGAAGGAAGGAAGGAAGGATGGAAGGAAGGAAGGAAGGAAGGAAGGAAGGAAGGAAAGATTCCATTCTTTTAGTGGTTGATACAGAACTTTGGCACCGCTCAAGCTGAAGGGAGACTGCAAAGAAAGGTCTTGGCGAACGCATTGGTGTATGGGACAGAAGACTTGGTCTCTTTTACCAGCCCTAAGTATTGTTGTGTGGCATCGCAGCTTTTCTGTGCATTAGTCAAGTGAGAATATAGCTAGAAATGCTTTGGGGACTTGTAATGATATATCTGAAGAATTAAAACTCCCTGCTCATTTAAGGGGTTGGTTTCTAGGCAACTCAGATGATATTAAGTGGCACCTGCTTATGAACAGAGATACCTGGGTTTCCTGAGCCGCTAATTCAGTCCTTTTGTCACCTGAGTTCTGAAGGATTAAAGCTTAAAAAAATAGCAAAATCAGAGGCACCTGGGTGGCTCAATCCATTAAGCGTCCGACTCTTGATTTCAGCTCAGGTCATGATATCAGGGTCCTGGGAGTGAGCTCTCTGTCTGTCTGGCTCTGTGCTCAGTGGGGAGTCTGCTTGAGATTCTTTCTCTCTCTCTCTCTCCCTCTGCCCCTCCCCCGCTCTCTCTCTCTCTCAAATAAATACATAAATCTCTAAAAATAAAATAGTAAAATCAGATACATGTGAATCTAAAGAAAAATAAGTTACGAAGTGATTATTTACATTATAGGTTATATTTACCTTTTAGGGAATAGGTGTATTTCTAAAATACTGTAGGCATAAATAGTAATTTTATAGCCCTAAGAAGAGATTCCTACACAAAAAAAATTCTATGATAAATTCTTTATATTAAGTATTAAAGCTTTGATTTTAATTTTTTGTAAATCCAGTTTTTGGTGTTCCTGAATTTCATAAAATTAAGTATAATTTTTTTTGGACAATTATATAGACATTGTCTTTATTTTATGGAAAGATTCATTATAAGTTTCTTTTATAAGTTGTCCTAAGAGGGTCATGATATAATTTTATTTACAAGTAGGTTTTAAGAAACCTACTTAATAAACAAAAATGTGCACAAAAATTGTAGGTATTAAGAGAATGTTTTCTGCAGTCTATTTGAATATGAGCCACATACATCTGGATGTGGAAATATAAATATTTTACATAAAGGTCATAATAATGTTTAGCTTTTCAAAGTTAGTTTTAGTCTTACTCCCAAGTCTGGCTTGGGCTCTCTGTCCTTGGAAGGCTAGATTGTTTATCTTTAGCATTTTGGTCCCAGGTGGTCAAGTGGCAACTCAGTATTTTTTTACTTTATTTATTGGTCTGAGTACATAAATAATAGAGTAGTGATTCTCTGTCAGGACTTTTATTGAGGAAATCATCTTCCTGGGCCCATGGCTCCATTAAAAACCAAACCAACCAAAGGCCGCATACCTATTTACTAACAGTTTTGGCTGTTCAGTGGCATGCCACATAACTGGGAGCTATTGAAATTCAGATATATTTTTGTTAAAATAAAGTATTTTAATAAGTTCAGAGAATTGTTTAATGTTTACTGTAAAACACCACTAAATCTTAGCCACAGATTTCAAAAATGAATGTGAGTTTATCCTGTTTCTTAATTTGCCCTTTTGAAATATACATTGGTTATTACAGAGATGGAGACATGCTTGATTCCAGGGTGACAGTGTGAGTTAGAAATGTGGTAGAATCCTCAGTATTTCTCAGGTTTTTCTCAAAACCTCCTTAAGATTGTAAAGCATGGACTAAGGAGGCCTTGGGTGTTGCAGTGCATGTGTGAGGAACACTGCAAGTGAGTGAATGCGTATACTTTCAAAGGATTGCAAAAGTCTTTATAGGGCATCTAATCAAATCATTCCTCTGCCAGATGTCTGTTCAGCCCAACCTTGATCGCTTCTGGTCATGTAGAACTCACTACCTACCAGTCAGTGCATTTTCCTGCAACTTTCTTTGAATGTTCATCATCATTTTGAGCCAACATTCTGCCTTTCTAAACTGTTTACCATTTCAAGCTCATTCCATACTCTCAGAGCTATTTTAAAAAATAACATTAAATCTCCTTCCACAAGAACATAGTCCTCAGATATTTGAAGAAGACTTCTCATTTCTTCTCCCAAACACATACTTGTATCTCCCTTTCTTTAGGCAATATAGCCTCAAGTTGCTTGATTAATTCTTCATATGACACAGACCTGAGGCCCTTCATTATTGCAGCCTGTATCTGGGAACTATTTTAACATACTACTAAAAATGATACTTTATACTTTTTAAAAAAAGATTTATTCATTTATTTGAGAGAGAGAGAGAGTGCAAGCACGTGGTGGGGAGGGACAGAGAGAGAGAATCCTCAAGCAGACTCCCCACTGAGTGCAGAGACCAATGCCGGGCTAGATCCCATGACCCATTTGATATGACCTCAGCTGAAATCAAGAGTCGGATGCTTAACAGACTGAGCCACCCAGATGCCCCTAAAAAATAATACTTTATACTTTTAAGTAGTTTTCTGTTTTGCAAAACATTTTGTATACGTGATCTGATTTCTGATTTAATTCCTGTAATAATTTCATGAGAACCTTGTTCTCAACTTGAGGTCTTTATAGCAATAGTTTCCTCTGTCTAGAACACTTTCCCCCAACCCCCTCATGACTCGCTCCTTCTCCCTTGGGTCTCAGTTCAAATGTTACCTCCTCAAGGAAACTACTTTTCATCCTTGTATCTAATACAGACAGCCACTACATCTGCCTCCTTCCCCCACAGACTTTCTCTATTACATCACCTTGTTTTATTGTCTTCATGGCATTACCACTCTCCGAAATAATCTTGCTTCTTTGTTTGAGTGCATAGGAAACAATTTAAATGCATAAATAAAGGAAAAATCAGGATAGGAACCTAGTGTGTCTAGCTACCATTGTATCCCTAGTCTGGTACATAATAGATGTTGACGATTCTGGGGCCCAGCATTGAGCTTTGTTTTCCTTGATAATTCTTTTTATATTCATTTCCAGTTTTTCAGCATTTCCCATAAAATATTAATATTCCCATAAAATATTAATATTAATATTCAGAAATGCATATTTGCACAAAATAATTAACAAAATGCCCTACTTATATTTTATGGTGGGAAGTGGATGTGGATTTTATGTTAAATGAATTGTTGATA